CGAAAAGAGATGAACACGCTTGGCGCGGACCGCAAAGGGTTGAAGCTTCGATGTCGAACGTCTCGATGTGACAAACACTTGAAAACTCTTCTAAAACGTTCGCCTCTGGGTAGCTTCGTTTTAACCCTTTCTTCAATAGAGTAGACAGTAGCGAGGAAAATCTGATTTAACGTTCTACCGCATTGGTGGCGTTACGTGGAAGCAAATTTTCCACGTATTGCTGCACGGGGAACAAAGGAAAAAGTTGGACCAACGCCGAGATGGTAGAGCCCCGACGACGATGGTGGAAATTCCGAAAATTCAATTGTTCGGACGGACCGCAAGCTAAACGAAACGACCAAACAGTCGCCGTCCACGCGCGTTCAACCAGGGTCCCGAGGAAATTTGTAAACACGAATAATCGAGCCCGCTTAAGCGGCGCCCGCGATACTCGATGTGTTACACGTTTTAACAGTGCATTAACTACCGAGTGGCGGGGCGTGGCCGATGTGAGTGAACGTGAACGTGAACGCTGGCTACGAGCGCGTGTGCTAACACAAACGCGTTGATTAATCTTTCCTCATTCGTCGCCCGACGCCACGACGACGCGTTGCTCTTTCACGGCTAAATGAAAAATCCACGCGCCCTCAGCTACGACCTCGCCTCTGATGGACACCTTTGAGTTGCCCTTCGTTCTCGCCAAAGAAAAATCCTCCTTTGACGTTGTTACGTTGCGTTTCAGTCGAACCTCCCTTTGAGGGAGCAGCCGTACTTTCGAACGTTCGAAAACTCGTGCAATCGAAAGATGCACAGTTTGTTGCAGAATGTATAGAACGTCAGCCAATCAAGACGGTCTTCGACGTGACTCGAAACAAAGCAAATGCGTAAGTCACTACGTCTGCAAACTCGTAATTGATATTCTTCCGCGCCAGAAGAAGCTGATAAACGCGGTCCCTTGGACTTCTGGCACGCTTCTTTCATCATTGAACAATATTCCGACTGGGTGCAAAGGTTCCACGACGAGAGCGCATTCTCTGGCAAATCCTCGGGAAAACGCATTCCTACGCCGGAAGTAAAAAGAGGCGAGTTTCGGCTGAAGCGAGGGAGAGGCGAAGCCGGTGAAGCTATCGGTATTCTAATTACTGGCAGCACGAAAACAGCTAGCAGGAAGTTGGAACGCGTAATTACAGCCGGGGACGGCGCCTTGTTAAGGTATCTCATTTTCTTCGCGAGGTGGAGAGGAGGAGAAGGGGTGAGGAAGAGGTCTCGACCGACCGGTCGATCGCGGCTTTCCCGCACTTCTTCATCGAGTTTTATCCGATAAAGTCCACCGGCTGATCTCTCCCGGTCGGTGAAAATTACTGATCCTAGCCCCTAGGTTCGATCACCAGCGGCGAACATCCACGATGGTCAACATCGACAGCTAATACCGTCGAGCAAAAAGCATCCTTTCCGGTTTAGTTAACTTCGCCAGCAGGCGCAGGGAACACGGACACTCTGTGGAAACGAGCAAAGACACTTGGAAATTGAATTAGGTCGGACGTGAACTGCAAGATCCTTGTTAGCAACGCGGCGGCATTTCGCGATACGTTCCGAACGTTTCGAACGCGTACCCGCCGCCGGCTAATACAATACGTACCCGGTTTGTCCGCGCGAGTTCCACTTGCAAAGGCAAGAGGAATTTTCGCGCGATTACGCGGAAATTACGATCCCGGGAAGATTGACACGCGGCCAGCGGTAGTTACGCGTTAATGGACTTGATGATAATTACACGACTAGTTGTTGCAGTGTAGTTGTCGGAGCAGGCGGAACGCCACCGCGGGAGAATCAAACGAGCGTCTAAGCTTTGCACGTTACGGGACGACAGTCTCTTGCGAGCGATCGCGACGAAATGAAAGTCACCGCCTCGAGGAGTACTCGATGCAGCGAGAATTAGCACCGAAAGTAACGAACGTTTTAAACGCCTCGGGTGATTATCGACTCGCCACGTGCTCTCGATCCCTCTCTAAACCTTGGTTCCGATGTTCGACCCGGACCTCGGTCGAATTCGAGACTTTTAGTTTCGCGCAACTTCATCGCGGCGATTCCGAGGCTTAATGACAGAACTTTACTTTACGTCATTTGCTTTTCGACGCACGCCGGGGCACGTTGGCTTTTACTCTCTCGGCTGGAGAATTGAAAGGGCCATCCCTCCATCGAAGTTTTTGATGGGCAACACACAGACGCGGAGATCAAGGGAGCGCTAGCTTGTGAGCGTTTCAGGGTTACATCGACGGTGATTAATTTTGGAAGATGAGCAAACGCGCTCTCTCTCTCTCTCTCTCTCTCTCTCTCTCTCTCTCTCTCTCTCT